ATAGATTTTTCGCCTGTTACCAGCAAAAATTAAAATCGTTATACCTCGGTCAAATCTCAGACTGAGTTAAGGAAACTCGTTGGAAAGACTTAAAAGGCGTCATAGATTGTTGATCAAGTCGAAAACCTAGTCCAGTAGAACACTGGGGCTTTGAGATTTTCCATAAGGTTCCTGGAAAACCTTAAACATATGACCAGCTGAAATTCACTTTTTTTTGTTTTTGATTATGATTTATGAGCCGTCCTGAGTCAGCATGAGATTTGACCGAGCTATAAGGATTTTAATTTTTGCTGGTAACAGGCGAAAAATCTATAACTTACATATACAACTTGGGTTCAATGCATCGTATACCTGAAATCACAGGCGAGGTTTTAAAGAAATACTTTTTAGTAGCAAAAATGCACTTTAATAGAGAAATCGTTTTTCTCTGAATGTACTCATTCAATCATTGAAAAAATTTCAGGCATATACAACTTGGGTTCCTCTATCGAACTACACAAAAACCTTTTATTTAAAAAGTTTTTCGAAAATTCATACCAATAGGTGGCCTGTAGAGGCATATAATTTATAAAAGCCGTAACTCTGTCAAAACAAGTTCGTTTGCCGAGAAACTTCCAGGGTATATGGAGTTTCACTTTCTCTACAATCTGGTCAGAAAAAATACAAGTCATGGTGGAGTACACCCTTCCCCCNGCCTGTTACCAGCAAAAATTAAAATCGTTATACCTCGGTCAAATCTCAGACTGAGTTAAGGAAACGGAAAATACTAAATGCTATTGTCCCAAAATAAAGCTTGAGAAGGGCGTTCTGCATTTTCCTTTTATTTTTTAAAAAAAGAAACGTACAGAGCTTCGAGACGCCTCATTTTGTAGAGAAACATCTGCTTTATAATTCTCGACTTTTCACAACACTACATATGCTTTCGTTAAAAACATATAAACAGAGCAAAATGTCACAATTTCGTCTCGGAATTTCAGTCCGAGATCAGAGTTATATGGGCGTGCTGAAGCGGAAAATTGATCTATCTTTTGAAAACTAGACTCCAAAGGATAAGTTATCCCTCAAAAAGTGTGATAGATAGCGATGAGAGCTTCGAATGGGACTGAACATCCATTTCCGGGAGGGGCTAACATTAATAATGGATTTTAAAATCCAGTCCGAGAGGTGAAAGTTTGTTACAAAAAAATTAATCATCCCACTTGGAGATGTAACATGCTTTTACCACCACACTGAGTACGTACACAGTTTGAAACCGATCTTCGATTGTTTCAGTGCTTCGAGTCTATCGTTTCCCCGTTTGGACAGATTACAGTCGTTCACGTAGAGTTTCTGTAATGATCGATTGTATTTGTGCATTTCAACGAGAGAATCGACACTCGAGTCACTCGTCAACTCGCTCAAAAAGAGACACAGCTTTTGAAGACTGTTGTTGTGGTGAGCGAGTGCATTAGCCAACAACTGAATTCCTCGATCACCTATTTTATCCTGACCGAGCATCAGTTCAGTCAATGTTGTATTTTTCTTGAGCATTTCAGCGAGATGTTGTGCACCTTCGTCTGTAATGTCATTCGAGCCAAGAGCAAGGGTCTCAAGAGTCGAATTGTTGAGCGAGAGTGGCTGTGTCAGATACCTCAGACCCACATCAGACACATGATTGCCTGAAAGAGACAGTGACTTCAATGTTGTGTTGTTGTACAATGCCTCGGCAATGAACGATGCACCTTGTGATGTGATCTCGTTCCCGCATAAGTCGAGATGCGTACACTGTTTGTCGATGATTGCCTGCTGGACGATAATCTCCATGTCTTGATCGGTCAATTTCTGCTGGCTTAAATCCATCTTCGAGAAGGGATGACATTTATTGATTCGCTCTACAAGTGTTGGATTTTGATAGGTTATAGGAACAGGCGTTGGCGGAAGTGAAATCAAAGGAAAACGTGGTTTAATCTCTTTGAGTTCAATTATATGAAGTCCGTCTCCTTTATTGACACTCCTGATTACCTCGAAGTTTCGAGCGGCGAGAAGTAAAACTTCATCTTCGTTGCGAAATATAGAATGCTTGTGAATATCTTTTCCGGTATCGTAATCGATGTTAAAGATAGTTCGTGTTCCAGTTTTACCGAGAAAATGGTCGAGAATGGAAGCACGAGCTGTACACAATGAGAATCCCCACCAAACAAATTGTTTTCCTTTTGGATATTGAGAGCGCAGATCTATTTTGACACCTCGATAGACCGTGCGACTGACAGTTGAGGGGAGCTTTGTGAAAGCCGTCGTAATAAGCCGAAGATAGGAAAACCAGGGTATTAATTCTTGTCGATTTTCAGAACGAAGAGCGCTATTAAGAATAAGATAGAATGACTTTTCAGTTGGTGCCCATTCCATTGAGTAGAGCATGATCGAAGCAGACTCGTCGGAGGAAAGACCATCTTCTGGTTGATCGCAATTCTGTTTCACCGTCCAGACCATGCGTTCAATTTCGGGAACGAGCGGAAGGAGCGGCACAGTAGCTTTTTCAAGAGAGACGAGAGGCATTTGTTCAAAGCCTGTAATGGGTGGAAAAGTGCGTCTTGGTTCCGAAGCGACATCGGAGAAGCGGCAAGTATGTTTAGCTTCATCAGCAACATTTGAAGCCACCGTTCGTATGGTGAGATCTCCAACAAAAAAAGATCTTTGTCAAACTTAGTATTCGTAACTGAGAGCCCATCTTTAATTTCGACAATTATGGATAATCATGTCTCGACAAAAAAGAGCTTAAAGTGATGAAAGAGAAATCATATTTTTTTTTCTTTTTTACTTCAGTATAGCCAACATTCACTTTCAGTTCGACTGAACACCCACAGTGAAAGTGATTGTTCATAGAAGAAAAGAGAAGTTTCATAACAGCCATTGAACTTATAACCGAAAACGGCATATACTCTAATCTGTATGATGTCAACTACAGATTCGTACTGAAATACTTTAGTTTGCATTTATAATAGATGAGAAAACAAACGAAAGTTTTTTCTCAAGTGACTTTCCGAAGAGCTACATTTAGCAAAGTGAACACACCCAAGTTACCGCAATCCCAAAACGTCCAAACGTTTACAGAATGTCAATCTAGATGTCCTCCATCTATGGTGAATGCATAAACATGCATAAATACTCCCGGACGGTACAGCAAATTTTCCAAAAACCCCTTCGCTTTTTATGTATTTTCCATTTTTCTTGGTTCACAAACATTTTTTACAACAAAAACCACATATTTGGAATCAACGCATCGAACTGCATCGAATGATATGTCATTTATATGTTTTTATGCGCAAAAAAATTGTTCGATTTAATGAAATCACAGATTTGCAGCATTCCCGTAGCAATTTTGACTAGGCACTAGGATTCTTGATTTAGAAGCAGTTTGAAAGTCTACGAAAACTATTTTTATAGGTTTTCGTATGCGCTCTTACCAATGGTATGATCCATAAAGTGCAAAAATACTTTTAGTCCAGTTTTCCAGAGACCGGGTCTTCAGAAGACCGTAATAAATACATCTTTGAAATTATAAAGCATACCATTGGAAAGAGCGCATACGAAAACATGTGAAAATAGCGTTTAGTGGCTTTCGTATCACTTTTATGACACATGTTCCTAATCAGAATTGCCCACTGTGGCATATATATGACTCAATAGCCACTTGACTGTGTGTGGACTTGTCGTATTCATTCTTATCTTCATTTTCAGTTGATTGTAAAACTAAATAAATTTTCTTTTGCATAGTCAAATTTTACATTGAGTTTGTTATATTATTTTGTTAAAAATTGCAGTTTGCAGTTGAACAGATGAGAAAGATGAATAGAAATCTGATATTTTTGGGCATTCACTTCTGGGCTCTGATTTGCACTGTGCTCTGTGTTAAAAGTTGTTGAACACATTCAAGAAACGGAGTGCTAAATAAGTCTTATAACAACGATTTTGTACGAATCATACTGCACGATTTCATACGAGATAGTTGACCTTCATATATATATAATCAGACCCGTACGAAAATCGTTCTATAAGAAATCGTACTATCTTACAGTACAAAATCATATCACTTCTTACTTCTCGTACGATCTTAGTACGATTCTTTGACCGGGGTGAATCATCACTTCTTGTAAGATCTTGTAACAAGAGCTAAGTATGAGTAAATATTCTTACGAACAAGATCTTAGAAGATCCTACGATTTTTTGTCGCAAGATCTTGTCACTTCTTATGAGCTGATCTTATAAGATCTTACGACAAGAAGTTACAAGATTCCGCGAGATCATAGATGATCTTAAGACAAGGTCTTAAAAGATCCTACAATAAAATCGTCACAAGATTTCATAAGACAATGGCAGATCTTGTAAGATGAGTTTCGTTTGGGTGTGTACATAGCGATGTTGTACATAGATGTGTACAAATCTTGTAAAACTCACAAGATTCTTGTTGAGAGACAAGCGAGTCTTTGCATGTGCCTGTGTTGGCATCAGAGAGGTTAACATCTCTTATATACATGAAAAGAAAAGAAAACCAAAAATGACTGTATACACATTTTTTCATCTGCAAGACTCTTCTAAGAAGTAACAGAAAACCCAAGAGAATTCTTTTTACCGAATTTCCCAGCGAATGTTTTGATACCAAAAATTCCCTCTAAATGCGTTATATCAATATTTTCTACCTTTCATAGGTTTGAAGGCATGAAGTGGATAGAAAAAAGTTGTAACTTCTTTAAATGTCTGAAAAGCTAATGAATTTAGGCAGCGTCTTAAATTTTTTAATTTTTCTAAGGCAATTTTAAAAAATCCAATACTTTTGAATGCCTTTTTAAACAACGCGTTTAGACTTTTCGAAATTTTTCATTTGTTCAAACGCTTTAAAAACATAGTTTAATAACTTCAAATGTATTAAAACATTCGAATGCGTTAGGAGTTAATATATAATGCTTGAAATCATTTAATGTATTCGAATGCATGAAAAAAGTTTTCTTCCATTTAATGCGTTCACAAGTTTTAAGAGCACTTTGATGAGTTCACACGAGTTCAAGATTAATGCACGTGAACATATTAACGCTTTCTAAAAACAGAAATGGTACTAGCGTGCTATAGGGATGTGTTCTTACTTTTTCCTGACAATGTCATCGGATTCCTCTCGAAAAGTTTGGTCTAGGGCGATCACTTCTAGTCAACCAGACTCATTATAGAGGAC